AGGAAATTCTTCTGCAACAGAGATATAAGCCTCCCTCCAGTTTACCTTAATCACCAGAAAAAAGCGTTACTACCTGACTTGACAATGGCAAGTGCGACCTTATCGAAATGTCAAAACAATGGTTTTTCTCAGAACCAAAATTTTTCAATGAGGATTCAAACCCGAAAAACCACAGAAAGTACATGTTTATAGCTCCCGCGGAACTTTCAAAAACCAGAGTTTAGTAAATAAGAAATAAAAAACGAAGAAATAAAGAATAACAAATCACCAGGAAAAGATGAAATTACAGTCGAAACGATTAAAAACCGGTGGGAAAATTAAAACAACAGTTTTGTTATCTTAATGACCAAAATATTAAGCACCAGAAAAAATATACGCAGTAGCTGGAATGAAGCAATCACAAAAAATACTTCATATTATGTATAAACTTCTAACTAAAATAATAACCAATAGACTAACTTCTAAACTTAACAGCTGTCAATCCAAAGAGCAAGCAGTGTTTAGACATCGCTACAGAACATGTGATCACCTAGGTAATTGAGAAAATAAATGAATATCAATACGAATATGAATACCGTTGTATATAACATTTATAGATTTCGAAAGTACTGGAGTACTTTTTTACTGGAAACAGTGAGTACAAAACAGTAGAATAGACTACATATATACAGAACTAATCCCCAATATATATAATAATGCCACAACAAAGATCAAACATAAACGAAATACATATACCGTACCCATATCTATAAAATTCAACCAAGCGTTAGAAGACATTTTTAAGAAACTAGAATGGAAGGAATATGGAATAAACATTAACGGAGAATGATATCTAAGATATTCAGACGATGTCATCCTTATAATGACAGACCAAGAACTATTGGTACAATATTTAGATCAATAATTGAATTCAATGAATTACGACAAAATAAAACTGATGACAAATCAAAAAGAAAGTGATAAAAATCCTAGTTAAACAAAACAAATAGAAGAAGTTATTGAATGCATATATTTGGGACAGATAATAAAAATAAATACATCCAAACTAGACAAATAAAGGCACGAACGAGAAGTTCCATCTTCTATCGAAGGTTGGAAATCATCATGACTATGCGAACCCTGTTGCCTGCCGCTCTAAATAGTTCTGCACTACTGCATTCAAACCATTCCGCTTAAGTTTTTGACCCACGATATTCTTCGTCTTCCCACATTTCGCTTTCCTCGAATTTTGCCTTGCATTAAACTTAACTACATATTTAAAAATAAATAGTATCATCGCTATCTAAAAATAAAACTATTAAGACAGTGAATAACAGTTAAGACAGTCCTTATATACAGCACTTGTGACGGAGCAAACATCTTAGACTCAGCTAAAGAAACTCTGGGATAAAGAAAGATAAATAAAACCAAATCTCCCCCAAAGCGAAAAACTCCATGGTTGTGTACAGAGGTGAACGTGCAATACATTAAACAAGTACTGAAAATAATGTATCTTGGCATTGCACTGTCCAGCTACAGAGACGTTCAAAACGAAGTCAAATATCAGGTACAAAGAGCAAATAGGTTAGCAGGATACCTCAATAAAACTATATGTCGTAATCGACACATTAACTACTGTGAGATGGGATCAAGAATATATAATGCCGGTATAATACCAATAATAACGCACACATCAGAAATAAGACATGACACAGTCAAAACACAGAGAATGCTTGAAGCTGCAGGAATGAGAATACTAAGACGAATTATAGAATATAGAAAACACACTGAAAGACTGAATAAGGAGTGACGAGATCAGAACAAAATTTAAAACACAGGGTTGAGTGTATACTAAAAAAAAAACAGAATGGAAAAATGACATCAGTAGACATGTAGCATTGTAACGTACGCAAACTATTTAGTTATGTGCATAAACAATCTAGGCGCTTTTGCCTCTGACGGAAAGAGGTTGGGTGTGCAAAATTCATATACAAGTTGTTTGTATTCTCTGAAAAATTAAAATGAATTGGGCACCATTCCATAATAGTTTAAACTCATAAAGAAACGAGCTCAGACAAAGAATTTAAAACAAAGCTAACCTTTATTATTTTGCAACGAACAAAAGTTATTAAAAGATTTTACGTTAAAAGGTTACGTCATCTCAGAAAAGAAATAACAGTATGTGTTTAGGTATCAAATTACAAAATAAAAATATACGCTTATACTAAAATTAAAATCATATCGTAAGAAAACAAACATTATATGTCTTGGCATTGGATTATGAATGGGAAATACTTTATCCGAAATTTCGAAATTCGTTCACAAAAAAATATAATTATATATATTATGTAGACATTTATATATTATATAGATATTTATTGTAGTTAACAGATCAATATTAAATCACTTCACTGTTATTTAGTTCATATATAATCTACACCGTTCAATAAAAAAATATACAATTGGCACAACTTTAATTATAAAAATGCTTGTTTGGCTTGCAGAAAGGATATATTTTTTACGAACTAGATACTTAAGCTGGGATTTTAGAACGTTGAATCTATCGGCAGCAAAAACATAATATCCACCATAAAAATATATAGGATTGGGCTTCTAAGAAAACGGGATATTTTTCAAATTGTTGGTTTCGGAACACATACCATAAATCCATAACTATTTTAATAACCTCGAGCCAATAAACATTGTTCTGGCAACTATTAGAACTCACGGTAAGAGTTTAAAATAAATATTTATTTGAAAATATAAAAGAGAAAAGGAATTTTTCGGCATACCTCATAAAGAGACCAAACAAAATTTTGTCCTGTCTTTTGGAAGTTCAAAGAGAGAAAGGGAGATGAATGGTGGATAGTTTACGAATGTTCGAACTTTGAGGCCAAGGTCGGAGCTATTAAGAACGAGACTTGGATCCTTGAGGTAATTTAGATGCATTCGGTGGATAGATAGCGCGACCAACATTGATTTGAATATTTATTAGGAATTATAATAATAAATTTTTTAAACTTTTGAAACGGTTACAGCATGTAGTTTACTACATTCATTTCCCAGCGCGGACATAATCAGACTTGCCGAAACCCTTGACAGCTAGTATTGTAAATTTAATTATTATTATTATATTTGTAAAAAAATTTAAAAGTAGAAAGCCACAAAGCAGTATATTTTGACTGGCACTATACACCGACAGCGATAATATCACTTTAAACCATCATTAAGTTTGATGTTACAAAGAGATTGAAGCAAAATAAAAAGTGCTTGGAAATGGAATAAATTTAAGCCAAACTACAACGTATATAAATAAACCATAGAATATTTATATACTAATTCATCAGAATTAAGAGAAAATGATACATTATATACTAATACAAACTATATTTAAGGTACCCAAATTTAATGTATACATACAAATAAAGAGAAAGGTGCATAATATAAAAAAATTATGACTAAAAGAATATTAGCTCGAAAAGGAGAAACAAAATTTGGAGATAAACAAAACCATTAAGAAAACACCTATATTTTAAAATAAATTTTTATCAATTTTTAAATAAATACTTCATTTTTTTAACTTAATTTAAAATTTACAGTTTCAAGATGAAAATAATTATCTAAACTGTCTGGTCTCTGGTTAAAAAATTTAACATAACTAAACATTGCTTATATATGTCACTTACGGCCATTATTGGTGAAGTTATTACCTTTTACAAAAATTACGAAGTTTACGGTTTTTTGCCGATATATCAATAAATTTTTTATCAATTTTAATGTTAAAAAACCCATTTTCATTTGGTCATTTGGTTTTGCAGTAAACAAAGAAATTAGGCAAAAACATTTTTCATCAAACAATATCCACCAACAATACTTTTCCATGTGAAAAATTTCATGACTAATAATGGTTTAAAAATCTTTTTGTATGGTTTAAAAATAATTAGATACCTGCCAAAAAGTTTTAAATTATTGTATTCACTTTTAAAAGTTAAGTTACCAAAACAAAACTAAAAAGAAAAACTGAAAATAAGAACTCCACTATTAATACCGATTACAGATAAGGAAATTTGCAATTGAAGACAGACTTCAGAAGTAATGTGTTAAATAAATCTTGAAATGTAATTAATATAAAAATAGTTACAACTGTATAAGTTAAAAGCTATCTAATATTTAAAGATTTATATTTTACACAAAATAAAAATTTAAACGCGATTTTCCAATTTGTCACGACCGGTGTTAATTAAAAGACTGAACGTATAATACTAAATTATCTTCATCTTGTTTGTTCCAGATGAAGTGTAGTGTATACTAATTAGATTTCAGATACACTATCGTCACTATTCACGTGTTGCAGGTGTATCTAACCAACGTTAATACGGTTATCGGTAACTCCCTACATTTTCCGCATGAATGATATATTTATCTAATATACGGATTATTTTTTATTAAATTAAAATCAATTTATACAGTCAAAAAGATTTTAGTTTGTAAGAATTGGCTCGTGAACAAATATTTTATTGATACACACACTGAAACAAATACTCCAGTCGTCAGAAACGAAAATACCACTGAACATTAAAAAATAATAGGGGAAGCCGGAGCATAATGAGCACCCTAAGGACATTGGGCAATTTTGATCTTGTTCGTGGTAATATGGAAATTATTTTAGTTCTATATAGTTACATATTTATTATTTTTTATTACAAAATACAATTTTAACCTAAAACTCACTTAACAATAAAAAAAATAATAAAAAATGTTAAGTTAACAAAAAACCATTATGCCCCGGGTATGGGGCACAGCATTTAAGAGAAGTTTTGCTTATTTCTGGCACTGTTCACAAATATATTGACACTCATCGTCATCGTCCTCTTCTCCAGCACAGGAGCAATGAGCCCATTTTTTGCATACACAACAACTTACCCACCCTTCAGTTGATTGCAAGTATGAGTATCCACAGTATAGACAATCTACATCGGAATCGTCACTTTCCGAGTCATCTTCAACAGTTTTTTGTTTTTTTACATTGGTTTTAGACCTTTTGGCTTCTTTTTTGTGTCTACCTTTTCTGTTTTGTTTTCTTTTTCACCCTCATCATTCTTAAACACTTTTCGTTTTTTAGATTCAGCGTTAGAATTTCTAGCCTCTTTAATTTGAGTTGACTCCATGAGCTCGTTCTTGTAGGGCGATTCTGTTAAAATAGCTATCTTTCCCCGATTTCTTGTCTGCCTTTGTTTCTTTGTAGTCTTTGGAATGGGTAAAATTTGCTGTGGAGAATCAAACACAAATTTAGTTGGCTTATCGTTTTGATAAGGTAAATCGTGAAAAGGCAATCCGTTTGACATCCCAGGCTGTGGAGAGTGCCTTATGTTTTGGGAAGGTAAGTCTGAAGAAGGTGATCTGTTTGACGGTCCAGGTTGTGGAGAGTGCCTTATGCTTTGTGAAGGTGGCGTGTTCTGCCGAGGCTCCATAATTCCAGCATTTTGCGACTGTTCTATATTTGTAGTATCCGCTGCCACAAAATCAGCATCCACAAAAATATTTGGGTTAGGTGGCCATATCCCGGTAGCTTTAAAACCATTTATAGCTATTGAAATTGTTCCCGCTCGAATAAACGCCTTTCCAAAAAGTTTAGTCACTTGGTAGTGAGTAAATACTCGACCTGGATTCAACCTTAACCAATTTTTTATTTCGTCAGCGTAATAGACACTTAATGGTTTCATGAAGCTTACATCTAGTGGCTGGAGTTTATGGGTACAATGAGGTGGAAAACACAACAGAACTACACCAAGCTGTCTTGCAAGGTCAATAAGTTTTAAATTTTTTGTGTGCGTAAAATGGCCATCTAACAATAACAACACAATATTTTCTTTTGAAGCTCTTGACCATGCTACGAATTTTTTAAACCATTTGACAAACAAATCACGTTGAATACAGCCTGAATCCTTACACTCAGCTCAAGACCCTGGTGGTGCGCCATCTAACAGTTCCGGCGTCATTCGTTTCCTTGGAAAAAATAAAAAGTAGAGGCATGAATGAACCATCTGCACCCATACATATTTCCACAGTAAGCATCTTCCCTCTCTCTGCGGACGACAAAGACCCAACTTGCTTTTTCCCTTTGGTTGTGATAATTTTATTGAGACTTTTGGCAACAGTGGTTATGCCAGTCTCATCAACATTAAATAATCGATCTGTCGTTATCTGGTATTTCTCAATAATCGTAGTTAGAAGTTCAAATAACCTATTTACTGAAATTTTGTTAAACCCCATAGCGCGTGCTGCAGAAGTTGCCTCTGGTTTTCTCAAAGATAGAACATCATGCCTTTAAGGAAAGCAGACAACCAATCTTCTCCCGCCATTTTGGTGGTATAATTAAAGTTATGGGAAATTTCGTTTCGTTCTGCTAACTGATATGCAACTTTTCGAAGGTCTCTTGATGTAAGCCCAAAAAGGCAATTTTCCATATCTTGAATATAGCCAACCAACTCCAATTCCTTATATTTAATTCAATTTAACGGCACAAGACATGTCTTGATTGGCTTGGCATTTACGTATGCGACGTTGTAAAGTAGCACGAGGAACAGCATAATTTGTAGCAGCAGTTTAACACGCCATGTTTCGATTTATAACAGCATCAATTGCTTGTGCCATTCCATTCTCTGTCCAAGATTGTCTGTTGGTCTGTTTTATATAATTACGCACTATATTTGCTTAACTGAAATAGAAACAAACGTTGGTTTAAGAGTGTATCTAACAGCTTGATAACGAGGGGCATTATGGGCACCCTATTATTGCTCATTAAGTTACATTAATGTAATAACTAAACTCACCTTTTGATCGTAGAGCTGTAACAATTTTAAAAACTAATCACTGATTGCCGTAGTATACTAAACAATATCATACAAAATTATATCACGTGTACAAAGAGATATTTATTACAAATAACGACCACGGCGAACGGTTGATTCGTCTAAACTGAGTTGCCTGTTACGGGCACGCCGGGCACGCGACTTTTACATTATGCTAGAGGTGTTGCCAAACTGCATTGGAAATTTTCTAAATTTAAGAAATTGTTCATCATGCCCCGGTGCTCATTTTGCCCCGGCTTCCCCTATGAAAAAATCGATGTATAACAATAGTATAACTGTAGCTGAGATAATTTAAAACAAAAATGTTTATAAGCACTTATTGTATACAACAAACCGTTTTCTCTGAAACAACACTTGAAGCCACCGACGATTGTGATTATGAGTTAAGCGCGCGAAATCATTTTTAAATAAAATTTGTATCAACTCGACGGTAAAAATTCGATCTCTTTTGATCAGAGTGTCCTATAAACTAATATCAAAATCCGCTTTAAAGGTGAAGAGTGCAGCTTTCGTATATTTTTGTATTTTTCCGCAAATAGAGTCAGTTTTGATGATTCTCGTGAGATCAATAAAATGTATCCTATTCATTGACCGGTCACTATGAAATTTCCATTGTAAAAGCCTCTACTTCACAACCTATAATATAATATATTTCAGTTCTGAGTTTTGACAACAAATGTGAGGCGATTTAAATATAGCTAAAAACGCTGAATTTAAACTTTTACATCACAAACCATCTAAAATGTTTCTTAAACTGCTTCTTTTCAATTACACAAGTACGTTTTTCAAAACTGCACAACTACAGCTACAAATTCCACACAATACCTTCTTCGTGAGACATTTCTATAGTGTATTTTTATGTATGAGAGAGTAATAAAACAATAAATTATGTATGCAAATCCCTAAACTGTTGATACGGATGACTCAATGAAAAACAGATATTTGTCAACAAGTTTACAGAAGTATATAGGAAAACAATTTTAAATTGAGTATGACCACCAGGTATAAAGGTTGGAGCAGAATAGAATACAATAGTTGTGAGGGTTACTAATCCCTAAATAAGGTTGCCAGTGTCGGAGTGATGGAGGTTAACAGGTACTAATGAATTTGCAAGAAATCTAAAATGTTTATTTTATTGGTTATATATAACCAATAAAAGTTTAATAAGTACCTACCTATTTGCTAAATAAAGTTTAATTCTTTAGATAAAATAAAACGTTTTATTTTATCTGAAATGAGTGCATTCCACGAAGTAAGGGTTTCAACAATCAAACATTTAATTCTTTAATTCCAGGAATCTACGACAGTAATTGACTAGATAATTACCTTCTAAACTTATTCCACGGAAAATGTGACAGTGGGTTTTTCCATTTTGTAGGAAGGTCCAAGTGGCGTATTCAAAATTCTTAACAGTTCACTAAAAGTAGGTACTTCAGTTGCAAGGTGCAGTTTATTGTGTATACTAGTGTTATGGAAAATTTGGAAGTGCCGTGTAAACGCCGAAAAATTGGTCCTTTAACAGTTAATGAAAAAACATTAATATTTAATTGTTTTAAATCATTTACAGACAAACGTTTAAGTGAAAGTGTTGATGAGACCGTTGAGTTAGTTAGCAGTACACTTGGTGTTGGGAAATCTACGATTTACAGAGTTATTAAAAAAGAGAAATGTGGTAGTTTTCAAATGTCACGTAATGCTCCAGGGAAACCAAAATTTCAAATAGAATATCATTTTAAAGAAGGACTTCGACGGAAAGTGCATGAATTCTTCTTTAGACAAGAATTTCCAACATTGGATAAAGTTCTTGTCTCAGTTCGAGATGATAAGGATTACCCAGAAATTAGTCGAAGTACGTTATGGAAACTTTTAAAGGAAATAGGCTTCCGCTGGAAAAAGAATCCCAGAAAGTCTATTTTATTAGAAAGAAGCGATATTGTCTTATGGAGAAGACATTTTCTAAGAACCATAAAGGAAATGAGGAAAAATATTTTATCTTGATGAAACATGGATCAACGAGGGTCATACACCAAATAAATTTTGGCAGGATGAAACTGTTACAAGTCAAAGGCACGCTTTTGTAAATAACTTATCTACTGGTTTAAACCCACCATCAGGAAAGGGACGCAGGCTGATAATAGTACACATTGGCAGTTCAGACGGTTTTGTTGAAGGTGGTTTATTAACTTTTGAATCAACTCGTACCGGTGACTACCATGAAGACATGAACGCTGATGTCTTTTAAGAATGGTTCGAACAAATGATAGATCTTCTTCCTAAGAACTGTGTAATAGTAATGGATAATGCAAGTTATCACTACAGACTTATAGAAGGACTGCCCACAACCAAGTGGTTACAAAAAGACTTGCAGAATTGGCTGAGTTCAAAAAATATTACGTACCATCCCGGATCTATAAGAAAGGAACTTTATTCGTTGTGTGCCCTTCATAAAGAAAAATTTAAAAAATACGAAATTGATGAAATTGCCAAAAGTCGTGGAATGACAGTACTTAGATCCCCACCATATCATTGTGAATTAAACCCGATTGAACTGGGATGGGCACAGATAAAGAGTGAAGTTTCAAGAAAAAATACTACTTTTAAAATTCATGATGTTAAACAGTTGTTTTTGGAGGCCGTAAATAATGTAAAACCTGAAAACTGGAAAAAGGCAGTAAATCTCACTATTAAAGAAGAGGAAAAAATGTGGAAGCTGGACAATATTACTGATAAAATGATCGAGCCAGTTATTATAAATCTTGGTTCTGAAAGTTCATCTTCTGAATCTGATTTGGATTTGTAACAAGTAGCTGTAAGTTTTATATTAATATTTTTATTCATCTATTTAACATACCTTAGACGGTTTTAAAAACTCTTTTTCTCTTTTGTAATTTTTAAAAATTAAAAAAAATGTGAATTTTTTAAAACCGTTTTTAATGTAGGCCAGTCAGTTCTAATATAGTGTGTGATAAAAGAGGTCACTTTTGTTTGCATACACATAACACTTTATAACACTGAAATAATTCATTTATTTTTTACAATTATTCAAAGTAATTTTTCAATTAATCTTGAGCACGCCCATGGAGTGGTCTAAAGTACCAGTTAAAATTATGCTAATTACTCTCTCGTTCATAAAAATAAACTATAATGTCAAGCGATCGTTTGTAGTATAAAAGTTGAAATCTACGTTTTTTAGGCATATTTCAAATACTTCATTCTTCTTCTTCAAGTTCCGCTTCTATCGGAGATTGGAAATCATTCTGGCAATTATAATTTTGTTGGTTACGGCCTGAATATTTCAATTGAACTGCATCCAAACCATTTACGGAGATTGCGTAGCCACGAGATTTTACGTCTTCCTACGCTTCTACTGCTTTTGATTTTACCCTGCATTATATTCCGTAGTAGCTCGTATTTTTCACCTCTCATGATGTGCCCCAAGTATTCCAATTTCCTGATTTTTATGGAATTTAAAA